TCAGCCACAAGCCAGGCTGATGGCTGCCAGTATAGTGGTGGTGGTGGGAGCCTCTCCCGCCTCCTCAGTAGCACTAAGAATGTCCGACTGCAGCTTAGGCCTGCTCCCTGCTGACAAGTGGACATCCCCGAGGGCTGCCAGGCTGTCAGAGGGATGTCTGACTGCCAGCTTGGGCCCGATCCCCCAGGGAGCTGGCCTAAGCCAGCAGGTGGACATCCTCCGAGGGGTCCCAGACTGCAAGAGGGCATAGGCTGGGCTGAGGGACCCCCCCACCCCGAGTGCACAAATTTTTTGCACCGGGCCTCTAGTCTCTATATAAAAGCCTAAGCAACCTTCGACTATTTGACCGGTAGCTATGACGTGCACTGACTACCAGGGGGCAGATGCTCCGACTGGTAGGTTAGCTTGCTGTTGGGGTCCGGCCAATCGGGATATGCCCTGGAGCCCTCCCATGGTCCCTTCCCGGCCCAGATCATGCACGGGTGGGGTCCTTCAGCCTAGCCTGTACCTTCTTGCAATCCAGGACCCCTCAGGGGATGTCCGCAGGCCAGGCTGAGGGACCCCACCGGTGCACAAATCCATGCACTGGGCCTCTAGTCACATATAAGAACCTGTGTCCCGGAACCTGGCTTCTGAAATCAGAGCCTCTTAGGGCATCAGCGGGGGCAGCGCACCTGGCATGAGGGCCGCGGTGGGGAACAGCTCCTTCAGCTTGGCCTGGCTCTCGTCCACCAGCTCCTCCTTGGTCGTGGGCAGCTGCAGCACATCTATGATGATCTGTGCGGCCTCCAGCGCCTTTTTGCCCATCACCAGGGACTTGACGTCCCAGCTGTACTTCTTCCCGTAGCGACCACAGATTTCTCCAAACACCACCGAGTACAGCCGTTCGGTGTCTGCGGGGACAAAGGCGAGACGGAGATGGGAGATGATTGGGGTGCGGGCCACGTTCACAGTGAGTCTGGGGGAAGCCCTGGCTGGTGTGGCTCAGTGGATACGTCAGCCGGGGAACTGAAGGGTCCCAGGTTCGATTCCGGTCAAGGGCACAGGCCCGGGTTGTGGGCTCGATCCCCAGTAGGGGGCATGCAGGAGGCAGCCGATCCATGATTCTCTCTCATCATGGATGTTTCTATCTCTCTCTCTCCCTCCCCCTTACTTTCTGAAATCAATAAGAATATATTTAAAATTTTTTTAAAAATCTGGAGCAGATAAGCATATATATACCCACATGCATATATTATCTATACTAATAAAAGGATAATATGCTAATTAGACTGGACATCCTCAAGACATCCTTCCAATGTTCTTCTGGATAAACCCACGGTGGTGGGGGCTGAGGCAGAGGTGGTTAGGGGCAATCAGGCCGGCAGGGGAGAGCAGTTAGGAGCGATCAGGCAGGCAGACAGAGTGGTTAGGGGTGATCAGGCAAGCAGGCAGGTGAGCGGTTAGGAGCCAGCGGTCCCGGACATCCTTCAAGGGGGCCCAGATTGGAAAGGGTGCAGGCTGGGCTGAGGGAACCCCCGCCCTGTGCACAAATTTTGTGCACTGAGTGTCCCAGTGCAGGAAATTTGTGCACGGGTAGGTCCCTAGGCCTGGCCGGAGATCAGGGCCAATCAGGGCCTTCCAGCCGCCGGCTGGGGCCTTCCTTTGTTCCGTGCCACCCCCTGGTGGTCAGCGCATGTCATAGTGAGTGGTCGGTCTTCCGGTCGAACTCCCGCGGGGACATTTTGCATATTAGGCTTTTATATATATATGTAGGTGTACAGGGTAGGTCACGGACAGGGAAGGAAGCTTTCATAGCGACTAGGGCAACATGGGAACATTTGCAGGTCATCCACCCGAAACTACACCGGGGTACCCTGCTCTGTTTGCTGGAGAGTCTTTGGAGCTGTGATGTGCAAAGTGAAAAGTGGAGAGAAATGAAACTCACACTATGGCCAAATGGTCTTTTTTGTTTGTTTGTTTGTTAACCTTACCGGAGGATATTTTCCCATTGATTTTTAGAGAGAGTGGAAGAGAGAGGGAGAGCCAGAGAGAAACATCGATGTGAGAGAAACACATTGACTGGTTGCCTCCTGCACACGCGCCCCGACCAGGGCCCAGGCTGGGGAGGAGCCTGCGACAGAGGTACATGCCCTTGAACTGAATCGAACCCGGGACCCTTCCGTCTGCAGGCCGAGGCTCTATCCGCTGAGCCACCCTGGCCAGGGCCACACTGTCTTTTACGTAAAGGTGCGCAGACGTGGATGTAAATGTGCATGGGCATCGGGACTTCCATCCCATGTCCCATGAGGCCGTGCCCTGCTATTCCCGAGCGTGCCCACAGCCCGCAGCACACGGGGTAGCTAGCGTGTGGCTCCTGCTGTGCGGGTCACGGCCAGTGCCCCAGGCAAGTGCTCCCGGCAGGAGCGCCCACTGTGCGTGCTGCTGCGAGGGACGACGCACGGCATTTCTGACACCAGCTGTGGGGGTTCCCCACCCAGCAAGTCAGGGACACCAGCCCGTGCCCTCCCTTGAACCCGGTTTTGACCCTGAGCATCCATCCCATCCCCGGGGGCAGGGCTCCGTCCCGCAGACCTGCTGCCCACTTGTCAGATGCTGACCCCGATTCCAGGTGCCGCCTGGGCTGCTGATTGGCTGAGAATCAGGGGCTCCTACGACCCCCCACCCCATCTCAGGTTTGATTCATTTGCGAGAGTGGCTCAGGGAACTTAGGAAACCAGCCAACTTCTAGTATTTCCCCGTTTGTTATACCCTGAGCATCTGCTCAGATGAGACGCGGGGGACAAGGTGCGTGGGGGGGTGGAGAGGGGGTGCAGAGCTTCCGTGCCCGTCTCCCAAGGGAAGGAGCCCATGCGATGGGGGTGTTCATGGGGCTCCGTCACCCGGTGAGCCCTCCGTCCATCTCCTCCAGCCGCTCTCTGGACAGTGGGGGCGGGTGGAGCTGAACAAGCCAAGTTCCTGATCAGGGCCCCATCTTTCTGGGGACCTGTCCACACCCAGAAGCACCCCCTCTCAGAGTCCCCCAAAAAGGTGGTTTCCCTCCTAAGCTGACCACAAATGAGTACAGCCTGGGGGTCACTCACAAAAGCATCGCACGTCCTGACACAAAGACAAGCTCCGTAAGCACTCGGCAGCCACCTGCCCGGCCTGGCGCGGGAACCCCAAACCCAAAACCGGGTCCCCAAGTCCACAGATCGCCCCACGGGCGTGCGGAGACGGAAGAGGTTCCACTCAGAGGCAACATCGGGGCGGCCAGGAGGTGGTTTCAATGCTTCAAGGTTATTGCACTTGGTGTGAGTCCTCCCCCAGGTCCCTACAGAAATATCGACGGGTTTGATTAGGGGGGGCTGCCCCAGGAACCCCCCAAATTGCATCCGCCACGGAACGCATCTGTTCTAACGCAAACGGCCGACAGATACATGCGAAGATGCCCCGCGTCACTGGCCTTCAGGGAAATGCCAATCGTACGACCATGAGATACCGCCTCACACGCCGATCAGAGGGGGCGTGACCGACAAGACAGGCCACAGCACGTGTGGGCGAGGCTGTGGGGAAGAGGGGAGCCTCCTTCGCGGCTGGTGGGAGTGCAGACGGAGCAGCCGCTGTGGGAAGCAGTCGGGCGATTCCTCAAGAAACTAAGACCAGAGCTGCCACGCGACCCAGCAACCCCTCTCCTGGGAATACACCCCCAAAATTCCAAAACGTATCCACAGAGATATAGGCACCCTGAGTGCATTGCCGCATCATTCACGGGGGCCAAGACGTGGAAACAGCCAACGTGTCCCGCGATGGAGGGCTGGATGAGGAAGATGTGGTCCATGTACACAAGGGAATACTACTCGGCCATGAAGAAGGATGGAACAGGGCCATTTTCAACAGCATGGACGGGCCTTGAGGACACCATGCTGAGGCTGAGGGAGATACGTCAGGGAGAGAAAGCTAAGAACCCTATGACTGCACTCATATGGGGGACATTAGACTGAGGCTCGGGGACATGGACAACCGTGTGGGGGTCAGTGTGGGGGTGAGGAGGTGGGGGGGACAGGGGGTGCTAACATATGGTGGCGGGCGAAGATTTGACTTGGGGGGTTGGGCACACAGTGCCATATCCAGATCTTGTCACATGGAAATCTACACCTGAGCCCGGCCAGTGTGGCTCAGTGGTTGAGCATCGACCTAGGACCCAGGAGGTCACGGTTTGATCCCCGGTCAAGGGCACATGCCCAGGTTGCGGGCTCGATCGCTGAGGCTGAGGGAGATATGTCAGGGAGAGAAAGCTAAGCACCCTATGACCGCACTCATATGGGGGACATAAGAGTGAGGCTCGGGGACACGGAAGCCGTGTGGGGGTCGCCAGAGGGAAGGGGGTGAGGAGGTGGGGGGAGAAGGGGGTGCTAACATATGGTGGCGGGCGAAGATTTGACTTGGGGGGTTGGGCACAGGGTGCCATATCCCGATCTTGTCACATGGAAATCTACATCTGAGCCCAGCCAGTGTGGCTCAGTGGTTGGCTCCAAGGCATGTCCGGCCCGTCTCGCTCAGTCCCGATCAGCCAGACCCCAGTAGCAAGCTAACCTACCGGTAGGAGCATCTGCCCCCTGGTGGTCAGTGCACGTCATAGCCAGCGGTTGAGTGGCCTTAGCACATCATTAGCATATTACGCTTTGATTGTTTGAACGGCCGACTGGTTGACCGGAAACTTAGCATATTAGGCTTTTACTGTATAGGATTAAACAATGTCGCTCCAATAAAGTTAATAAAATAATAATTAAAGGATATAAATAGAACGGAATCCAGGGGTTTTGGAAAAGGAATGCTGACCCCACACTGTGATTCCGGATCACACCTCGCTTATCTCGCACGCCTTGAGCAAAGCAATTTAATGCTTTTTCTCAACACGTCATATGCCTTGAAAACAGTCTTAGTTTTATAATTTCCAATTACACGAGGGGGTGAGGGGGGGCGGTGAGGGCCCACCTAA